CCAGTCTTTTGATTTTGCTACATAATATATCCAGGATTTTAAATATCATGTGTTTAACCTTTGTATTAAAACAGTTTATAAAATTTTATTGTCTTCTTCTTCACTTGAAGAAGCTTTGTTATCTTCAAATTCAGCTTCTAAAAGCTGTAACCATAATGCATTACGTATTCATTTTTTACGATTTATATTAAAAGCCAATGAAACAAAATAACTGATCGATCTGATCAAAAAATTGTGCTCAATTATAGCTACAATTTTATTGGTTATTGATTTTACCAATCTGGATGATCTGATCTAGAAATTAACAGGCTGATAACTGCTAAATCAGTATAAAAAGTAACATTACAGGAGGGAAGCTGTAAGTAAAGCAGTGAAAATAGCTGCGAATTTAGGTAATAAAGAGGAAGAAAAAGGAGATGTAAAGATGGAGGAAAAAGAAACTATTGGTAAACTTTGGTGAGTTTGAAGCCAAGTAATACCTATTCTTATCGAAGGAAGACCTAAATTTTGTAGAAAACTATCTATGTAAAATTTTAAAACAAAAGAGAATAAAAAAGAACGAGATAAAATGAGTAATCGAGAATTAAATGGAGGTGATAAATATTTGTCAAATAAATTTGTAAAGGTAGGTGGAGTAAAATTTCTTGGGGCTGCAAATAGACTCTGATTATTGTTTTTCAAAAAACAGGTTAAGGTGAGTTCATACAATACGCTATTGGATAGAACACTGTGGGTTTGATCAATACGATCATTTTTAAATAAGATTGGAATTTTTGCACAAAGGAAGAGGAATAATATAAAGCAACAATTATCATAACGGCCTCTGAATTTGATAGCAAATTTCTGATGAATTTGACAATGAACATAGGGATCGAGGATTGTGATATTATCAGATCTAATTGAAGGTATGTGATGCATTAGATATATTGTGTCTTGATCAATTTTAATAATTCTTTCTAGGATAAAGTAATTGACTGAAGAAAGCTAACCAACCACGAATTTAGGGTATGGTATAAATAGGCAGGACAAGTAATAGAGTAACCATAACAGTACTTGTGTTTGAAATTATTTGTAGATGATAATCTTCTATCTTGATCAGGATTAAGATGGGATTTCAAGGTTTTAAACCAGCTAGGAGTTTGAAAACTACAGGTAATTGGATGTGTGATAGTGTACAGATCACAAAAGGTAAACATGTAGTTTCCTTGATAGTTAGTTAGTTGCTTCATAAAAAGCAGTGAGAATTTTCATAAACTAGAAGCATGCATTCTGTATTCATTTCGTATAAATTCAGAAATTGGAGAGTCTCCTCCTAAGATTCTATTTGACATGGCTGGTAATATATTAAGTTTGAGCTTCATTGAGTTAAGATCACAAAGAAGGGATGGGAGCCAGTCATCAGCTCATGTTGTTTTCAAGAATGGCCAATAGAAAAGCAGATTATCAAAGAGCCATTCTTTCTGTTAAAGTTGAAGGGTATGTAAATAAAATGATCTTCCAAGTATATTTGATTCATAGGATATTTATAAAAGGGTGTTGCTAAAGTTCTGAATTAATTTTGATATAACGAAGTCAAATTGTAAAAATAATGCGAATGGAATAAGTCCGTTGGGGTATGTCTGAAAAGTTTTAGTTTTCTTTTAACAAGGCTAAGTATGTAGCGACAAAGCTTTTACATTGTGATTCAGACGGCAATGTGAGTTGAGACCTATACTCGATCCTTAAAAGGAGAATGGTATTAAAAATATAAATTAATTGTGAGTCAGTAAGATGTTTATGCTTCATAATAGTAACAGCCTTCTTGATTTCACTGTATATCTGATTATAAATAAACTCTTATTAGACTTGAGCGAGATCCAAACACCCAATTAACAAACACTAGCTTTTGGAGAAAGAGCGTTGATAGACCATGTAGTATTATTGTGACTAATTTCAAAAGTATGCTGTTGAGGGGTATTGACTAACAGTTCAGATTTAGACCAATTCACTTATATATTATTAAACGTGAAGAAACTATTTGCAATAGAAGTAATATTTGTGAGGTTCTCCCTGGATTTGACGAGCCAGAGGGTGTCATTCATGTAAGCAAGGACTGGAATCTTTAGATGAGAATTATTAGTAATGGGAAGTCAGGCATCTGGACGCCATTCAACTTTTATAACAAAGCTATGCAGAGAATTGTTGATAGCGCATAAAAGCAGGTTATAGTATATACATCACAAAGTGGTTATATAACTTCGCCTTGATCTATTCCTGAATGTACCAAGTATGTATTAGAATTTCTGTGAGCTGTGAAAACCTGGTTGAATCTGGGAAGAAATAATCTCAAAATTATGCAAGTGAATTTAAAAGGAAAGTATAATCTTATAAGAGTCGCGATAAGAGTGAAGACATTCATATGATCATATGCTTTAGACATATCTTGTAAAAGGACCCATAATTCTGTATTATTATATATGGCATTCTGCTTAATGTTGTCAAAAAGATGTATGGGGTCAAAAGTGGATTTGAAAGGCAGGCCT